CAAATCGACACACAAATCGATGACATCTATGATAGGAAATGCAGAACAACGTCAGTTGACCCATCACCGGGATGAAGCTCTGGACTGTAGTCCTGCTCTGAGATCCAGCACACCAGAGTGGAGAAACGGCACTTCCATTGTTGATGCTGCGTGCAGCACAAAATCTCCAGCAAAGCAACAATCCATGCAAGTGTTGGCAACACCTTGAAGGCTGCATGGCTGGGCAGCTATGATGCCGATATCTGCGCAGCTTCAATATGTCTCATGAGACATATCACTGATCAGTGATGGTGGTTGTTACCACGCTGGGCACGGATTTGCGGTCTGGAGTTGTGGCGATTGCAGTAAAGCGGTGATGTTGAACAATCCAAAAAGACTGAAAGGGCAATGTGGTGATATGCGCGATTGCAGAACAGAAAGAGCTATCAGTTGCATGCATGGTGTGCATTGGCAATTCCGAGGGTGTGCTTGTAAAACAGCTTTGTCATCTGGCAGATGCGCAGTGCGCAGATGTGCAAAGTATTGTCCATTTCACACATCTTGCAAATATGCTCAAATTGCGTCGAGGTATAATATGGTTGTACATTTTATGTTAAAAATGTCAATAATGGGACCGAATCGCGGTATCTTAGCCGTGTTTTTTGTGGCATTTGACATCAGCGACCTACCAGTGCGTCAGACGCTGCCATCTGTCGTTGCATTTCTACCGCTGTTCTGATGCGTTGTGCGATGAACCATGATCATTTACCTAACTGGCCCATCGTCTACTGCATTGATGTTCGGATTCAGTGGTCCATTGCTGGGGCGACGGAGAGGTGGTCTGATGGTTGCTTGTGTTGCTGGTTGATCGACCGAGGGCGTTCCCATCTGTACGCAGGCTACACCAATCAGTTCCACATCAACACCCAGTCTGAGATCGCCATGCGGTACAATGACGTGTCGCCCCTTGAGAATCACCACTGCGCCATTACCTTCGCAATACTGGCGAAAAAGGAGTGCTGCTTACTGGATGGGATGCCTGCGAATGATCAAAAAGAGGTGCGGCATCGGATTGCAACACATCCCCTGCAATCCATCTCGATGCATCTGCAGGCAGCTTGCGGCAATTTCGTGGCCTTCGCAAGCGACTGAAGTATTTGTCTGCAGCTGGTTAAATTGTAAATTAACACTTAATTAGCAGCTTGTAAGATCCGACGTTTCCGGCCCCAATAAGGATGCTTATTGGGCAATTGGGTGTTGCGCCAGAGTGGGCCTGGCATGCAGGCGCCCTTCTGGGGCATGCAAGGCAGAATTGGATGAGGTGGATGGACCACTGCCGCTGACCGCCTCATTTCGCGGGATTGAGCGCGATAGATTTTGCTGCGGCCCCATCCATTTGCTTAGCAGCTAGCTCTAATGCTAGTGCTGTTGAAGGGAAGCTTTTTGAGATTTGCTGCAAAACTTTACTGGGTAGGTGTGGATTCAGAGGGTATTGGGACGCAGCCACATGAAAGCGGACTTTCCCGCAGTGCGGCCAATTGAAACACTCATTGAAAAGGTGTGTTTTAGAGACACTGGGATTAACTGCAATAATCTGCATTTATCAAAGTCACAAAGTGTTCCTTTGCTCAAAATTTTTCGCTCTTTAAGATATTAATCTGTTATACTTACGCAAACGTCTAGAAATCTGTATGATCACTCAGGTTAGGAAAACGATCATCAGCGCCATCCTGGCCACCGACATGTCCCATCACTTCAGCTTGACCGCCGACTTGCAGAAGCACTCCTGGCCTCTGGCACAAGACAACGAGGCTCTGCGCATGCTGATGACCAAGGCCGTTCTCCACAGTGCCGACCTCTCCAATCCCGTACGCAGCTTCGAGGTTAACTTCGCCATTGCGGACAAGGTGCAAACCGAATTCAAGTAAGATGTTCTCATTGGTAAGATTCTTTTCTACCCGTTGATTGCACGTTGGACCCCGAAGATTCCCTGGTGCCACTTGGGGGCTCCTTGATGTCCACGGAATTTTGTGCCGGCCACGCAACACCAGCGCAGAAGCTCATTCGTCCATGATTCGTCCATGACGAAGGAGCCCCTCTAAGCGTCGTCCGGCGCCTCCGAAGTCACGTCCTGGCACGGCGATTCTGCGGATTAAAGCTCTCAGCATCACGTCAAAAACCCATGTCCTAGAGCCTTGCGCGCGACAGCGCCACACCAGCGCTGGTCGAATTGCTCACTCTCGCTTGCGTCTCAGCGTGGTATTTTGCTCTCGGCAGAGCCGTCGCGTGTGCAGCTGTCCAGGACGACAGCCCGGCCCCGTCCTGAGCAAGCCATCTTCAGCACTTGCAATGGTGCAGCGTTTGAAGCGACAGAGCAAGGACGCGGTCTCCATGCAATGTTGAGAAATTCTAGAGCAATGCGCTTGTGGGACGCGGCATTCCGGCAGCGTTGGCACTAACAGTGACGAAGGAGTGTCCTACATTGCGTCAACACTAGTGAAAAACAAGCCAAATATATGGTCTCGAAGATCATGTACCGTGCAAATCATGTAATTGACTGAAAATCGTGTAAAAATGGTGTTTTTGTCATGTCTTTATCGCCTAAAAGTGGGACCAAGCCGTGCAGTAACGATCGGGCGAGTGCACATGATTTTAACACGTTTTCACACGGTTTTACTCAACTTTTACATGGCTCGAAATCGTGTATTTTGGCCGAGTTTCATTCGCGCAACGGCCGCCGATGCTGCGTCAAGGAAACAATATTCCCTAACGCATTCGCTCTGATCACTGCTGCCCCAGGCACGAGGCGGAAATGTGCCGCTCTCAAGGGCTCCCGGTGCCGCCCCACATGGACATCAGGAACGATTCGATGAAGTACCAAGCTGAAGTCAATTTCGTGGACTACATTGTCCGTCCTTTGTGGCGTGAGTGCACAATTCCATACTCCGTGGGCGTAGGATGCAGGATCAGTACCAGTGTTCGGTGGCTGCTGTGCTTGGCACGACGTCCACCATTGATGCCTCTTGCAAGAAGTGACATGAATTCCCATCTTGTGCGCTGGAGGGATTCCTTTCCAGCTGCGGGGCTGCTGATCGAACAGCCACTACTGGCATACCAACTAGTATGACAGCCGTGGCGGATCTATTACCAGAGGATTTCCGTGCCTGCAGATATCATGGGCACCGCGCCCTTCATCGGTTGAGGAACACTTGCGAATAAAGTATGGCGGACATGCACTCGTCGGTATTCACTACGCAAAAAACTTCCCGGCAAGTTGCCGAACGCCGGCCACTCTGAAATGGCGTCCCAGAAGGACACTCCCAAGAGAAGTGAACACATCACATCGAATCCATGCGCCCCTTCATGACGCCAAGCTTCACTGAGCCCCTTCATGCCACCAGCCTTTACTAAGCGCGAGGGACATTTGCTGCAGCTTGCGTCGCTAGGGTACAGACCAGCGGCACATGCGCTTGAAATCATTTCTGAAATCATTTTTAAAGTAAATTTATGATAATATCAAAATATAAATAAATAATATGATTAATGAGTGATGTTGATACGCAAGGTTCGAATTGGGACTATATCGGAGGCAGGCACAGCCACGGGCTTGGGGACACCGCTGAGGGTACAGAGTTACAGATAGATCACAGACAGGCATGTCCCTTTATAGTCATACAGCCATCTCTCAACGACGGACCAGTCACTGTCATATCAATGTTAATACGATGGTGCTTCATAATGGCGTTTTTGGGGAACCGCAGAGAAGATGAGCTCCCTGTTCCCCGCACTGGAGATGTGCATCGACCAGATGAAGCGCAACCGGGAGAAGTTCCAGCGGCTGGCAGAGTACGCGTCCATCGCGATGGAGCTCGAGCAACGGAAGTCGGGGACGGGAGCAGAGTCGATTCGCACCTCTTTGGACAAGCTCCTGGATGCCAAGGGGACCTCGGCGGGCTGGAAAAGCCCTGAGACCGAGGTGCGTGTAATGCTCCTGCGACACCGGTCGAGCAGCGACATGGGGCAGAATTTGCCGTCCGGGAGAGACGGGGGTTCAGAAGGGAATTTGTGAGAGAGCTGAGCGGAGTTGGCAGAGATGATGGGCCGGCTGGGAAGTCGGGAGTGAGAGGTGGCGGATGCTGCTGGGTGTGAGGGTGAGGCGTCGGGAGGCCTGGCCTGGAGACTTCTCTGTCGTGCACGGGGGCCCCGTGATGACTGCAGTGACTTCAGGGCTCGTGTGCCGCCACCGCAAGTCGGCTGAGGCTCTGGTGGCGAGGGCGGTCGGCAGCGGCGTCAAGACTGGGAGGCGTGGGAAGTCGAGGGATGCCACAGTGGTGGTTTGCAACAAAAACTGCAGTCCTCGGTGCTAAACAACCCACGATCGCAAAAATTGCATCGGACCTTGGTCTTGCCCACAGCGGCATGACTTCGAGTGCAAAGTCACGGCGCATCTCGCCGTGAAGTCTAGTAGGGAGAGTTTGCACATCTCGATGGATCCACGCCCCCATTGTTAATGGTCAAAAGCATCTTGGCGCCAAGGAAAGCAGCACGCACGATCAGCACGTGTGTTCCGCACAAAGCTCTCCACAATGCCTTCGCAATCTGAGGGGATCCTCAATCGCCAACGCCAGCGGTGCTGAACAGCGGAGACCCGAGAGGCAATTGTGATTCAGGATCCTCACGCAAACTGAAGGGGCAGCAAAGCCCCAATGCAGACTGATGTGGCCATTGTCGCTGACACAAGCCTCACAAGCTGGTTTCACTTTGGCATACGGTTTCAGCACAGTCATCATTGATTGCTCAACGATTTGCGGAGTGGAACGCCGTCTGTTTGTCAACCCCCACTGCATCCCTCATCTGACTTGCTGCGTCCGTGCTCTCCACTGTCTGACTGACACCATGCATGATTGTCAATTGCTTGACTACATTTGTCGAAGCACTGCCCTTGCTTACATGACAGTGTGCGATTTCAGGACAAGTTACAAGAGACAGCCTCTAGGGCTGAACCCCAATCTAACTTTTCATCATTCATTTTGTACAACATCGTATTTCTCGAACATCTCACGGAACTTGGCCGCCCTGACCTTCTCTTCTTCCTCAGACATGGTGCACTTCCTCCAATCTGCCAACTGGGGTTTTCCAAGCAGCTTTGCAAGCACTTCTCGTCCGAAAGTGAGAGGCAGCCTCTGATCTCTGCGACAGCCACCACTGGTTAAAGTACAGTCGACGCTGTGAAACAAACCAGAACAGAGGCTAAAGAGTGCGGCCCAGCAACCCTTCCTAACACACATTCCATGAAGGATCGTATCGATCAACGCAAAAGACAATCAGGCACTGAACAATTTTTGTACTCTTCCAGCGCAATATGCCTGGCGAACCCAACGCGCACCCCTTCCCTCAAAGCATTGGCTATAAAACAACAGCATACACAATGATTCAGAGTCACGTGTCTTGATCGTTGTGGCTGTTCAGGTCTGCAGCGTAAATTCAGGCACGTAGATCTGGGCAGCTACAATTTTCAACAGCAAGACAAATTACGTGCCATCACTGCCGGGTCCAGGACCTGTGGTGTGTGTGGAATGTGGACGGGAGAGCCTGGGAAAGAAAAGAGGGGGAAGGGGCTGTGCGCAAACCATTGAGGCACTCCAGGGACGAGGGGTGCATGCATGCACACCAGAACATCATCTATTCATTTGTTTGCTTTCCACACAAGGGATTTTCTGGGAACATATCTTGATGATGTTAGTAGAGCCTGGACAGCGAATGTGAGGAGCAGGAGAATGGGTGCAAGAAGTTTAACTTTGAGGCATCTTGGCCTCCTTTCTTCCTTTGGGGATTCTGGGTTTGTGTTGACACAGGAACATGAGCAAAAACACTCCGAACAAATATTGTGCTCGGTTTTGCGCCCACCATCGTCCATCAGGTGCAAGTGGTGTGCTTGTTACTGTATAACACACACAAGCGAGCGAATTTGATCATGATGACATGTGTGTTCGGCACCGATGTATCTGGCAGAATGACAACCTGCACAGGGAGACACAATGCCAAATTGATAGCCAGACTGACACAACAAAGGGAATCGACACCACTTGGATATAGTAAAGAGAAAAGCATAAAGAAACTGGCTGCGCACAAGGAGAGAAGGAGACTGTCCCCATTGGCCTTCCACAACATCAACAAAACAACGTATCAACACCAGTGCTGTGCCCAAAATGCCAATGGCTGCACGCAACACAGTTTGGACGATTCATGTTGAGTGTGGGTAACATGTTGGTTTCATGGCCAACATTGCCCACCTCATAAGTGGTTGAACCATTCTTGAACCATCAGGTAGAAGAATCGCAAAGTACTCCTCGTCTCCAACAATGTCCAACAAGCTCTCCCGCCCTTTCTCTCCTTCCATTGCTGGCAGACACGTTAGCTCTAGATGGTATTCTCGACCCTTGTCCAAGAAAGCCTGTTTCATTGAATTCAGGGATGCCATCAACAAGCGGACAAAATTGGCACAAGGCTGGTGCAATTCTGGTGTTGACCAGCTGACAGCTTGTGACGTTCTCACACACCATCCAGGACAGTCATCAAGGTTCAACAACACTACAGCCCCAGGTGTTGCACACCCTCACAGGTTTGTGTGTCGAGGAAAATGCTCTCCTCTGTTGTGTGGTGGCATAAGATACCACACTGATGGAATAGACACGGTGACTGAGGGTTCACAATCAAGGCCTTCAGTGAGGATCTGAAAACAGATACACAGAGAGAAAGGCTTGCAAAGTGCAGCACTTGACTTTGTTAACCATTGGCTCAATGACATGCACTATAACCAAAAGCAACAACAATGGGTACTTTGATGTGATTGATTGCCACTCACGCTCTTGCAACGCATACGGAAAGAATATAAACAAGATTGGGAGTGGGCAGTTTCCAGTACCAAAGAACATCTCACAAACTCAAGCTTGACATGATGGGCAAACATCGTTGAAGTGCTAAGCATTCAGCTGACTTCACCTGTTTCACTCTCTCTGCCATTGACTGTGGTATGGATATCACGCTCATGTGACAGTGGTTTCCGCCCATTTTCCGCAGGGTGAGGTACCTCTCAAATGCTATCAAGGCCCTCCCAACTGAAGCAAATGCAGACTTCAGAGCAGATAGGTAGCGCTCCATCTCGATGTAGCATGCGCTGGGCATCATCACCGTCTTGGGATAATGCTCGATTGGTATGATGAGGACATGGTGGTCGGAGACTGGCCCCTTGTCCAATGCAATGTAACAGTCTCTTCCAACACTGGCCACAAGGTCTTTGTCTGATGCATCACTGGAAAGACAGAACCAGCAGCCTTCAACAGATTCGCCTGCTTTGTGTCCTTGCGCTGATTGTGATGCCTTGTCCACTCGGACTTCACGCCCATTCAGCTCTGCAAGGTGCAGATCATGGCATGCCTTTTCGGCAGCTTCGACGGTGGAAAACTGGACAAATGCCCACGTGTTTATTCGGCCCTCTGCATTTGCGGTACGATGGACGCCAACGACCTGCAGGGGGAATTGTGCTGCACTATTAAACAGTCTAGAGTTTACATCCAACAAGCCAACAAAACCCAAACACATCGCCAGCAGCAAAACTGAGCAGGACAGAGACTTCAGCTCGGGAGTGCTGCCATACAAAGCAGATATGCTGGAGGACGCTCATGATATCACCAGGCCCTTGGAGCATTTGAGTAAATAAATCACAGCTGAAACAGCGATGCTCATCAAATGCATTTTGCACGGCATTCACTGCCGATCACAGTTGAGAGTGAAGATGCGCATCCATCAACTTACAACGATCGAAGCCCAACTGGAATAATGTACCAGGAGCGCATTGGAATACCTCAAGCACAAGATATCAGGGCATGCATGCTGGTGCCCAGTTGAGGCCAACCGGGTGCGACATCCTCACGCACAGGAGCAAGCTTTCGTACATGCCCAACTTGTGAGAAAAAATCTCTTATCTCCTGCTCTGAGCACACGAATGGGAGGTTGCCAACAAAGACAGTTTTCCGCTTGTCCTTGACAACACCAGGGGCCAAGCGACTCTCTGCAATTCTCGGGCGTTTGTTCTGCTCCCATCGCCACGACTGAGCATTTACATCCTGGAGACGAAAAGCATGGCAAAGCACAGTAAGCCAGGCACAGTTGCCACAGGAAAGCAACAGCATTGTTCCTGACGCAGTACACATGAACAAACAAACAACGGATCACCTCGCTGTGCCATCTGAGTGGTTGCTAAGTGCCATGGCTGCGACTTGTGGAAGGGCTTGTATCTGACCCCAGTCGCAGCATGTGCTGAAGTCCTGTCAGAGAGAGGTCCTTGCAGAGCCTAAAAAAAGGTAAAGTTTTCCAGAACCCATGTGTTGTTTCTGTATTGCATGCAATGGATTCATCAATTCAACCTTTAGAGAGCCTGACAGACAGTATCAAACTCACCGCATCATCATGAGATCTCTTTGATCGCTTCAAGGCGTCGTATGGGCAGGGTGTTGAATTTTCAGGGATTTCATGCAACTTGTCGGGGGTCATGTCTGCTGCTGGAACGAGCTGAAGGGCATTCAGCCACTTTTGGCCTTGAGTGGTGACTGGAGCAAGGGATACGAAGCGAGTGACATGGGCGCCTGCCCCTCTGTCTGGATTCACATAAGGTGCCCGTACAAAGTGCAGACTCTGCCCTCCTGCATAGTGATAACGCGGTCGGACGATCGATGCCAGTTCGGCTATCTGCTCGCTCCCCATCCTCCCATCGAATCCTGCAGCATGCAATCTCAAAACACACCTCAGGCATCCATTTTAGGTTGGCTGCACAGCTGAGCATGCAACAACAGCAACATGCCTGATGAGCGAACAAATTGCAAGAATTAGTGCAAGTGATTGACTTTCATTGTCTGCACTTCGCACCTTGTCATCAAGCCCCCTTGCACAGGGCTTTCTTGATTATTGTGCTAACCATTCTTGTAACTTGGTCGCTGACAGTGTCAGTCCAACAAACCTTGTTCAGCCAAAGCGTTCCCCAAAACGACAAGCCAACCTCTGCAACAGTCATTGTGTCATGGGCGATCTCAGTTTGATAGCATTGGCCCACCTGGCATGGAGCTGGTGTCGACACCATGAGTGATGCCCCTTGGCCATTCGCAGGTCAAGAGGAAATCGATGTCACCCTCCCAGTCTGACACCTGCTTCTTCAGCACCGCCAGGTCTTCGTGGGTATAATGCCGACAGCAACCACTGGTGGCCTCCACTCCATGTGAGGAAGTTGCTGAAAAGTGTTCTGGACTGAATGTGCCATCTAAGAATGCAACCGACAGTCCAGAATCCAACTTTGTCTGCACATCATGAAACTTCGGCATTACAACAATGTCTGAATTCCAGACTCTGAAACGACTTAGGTGGAGGCTGTGCCACAGGAAATCCAGCTAGTGCTGCAGTCCTTTTCCTGAGATTGTAGTCATACCGTTCCAAGGCATAATCTCTTTGGCAGTTGTCACACCCGAAATCCAAAACAAACAGCCTACAGCAGAGGCAACAGCTGCACCCAAGCACATTGAGCGACAGTGTCGGCTTGCAGTTGTTCCATAGAAAATGTGTCTATGTTTGACTGAGCTACCTCAATTCCTCAGTTTATCACAGCTGCCTCAGTCGTGTGAATCAATTGGATAAGAAGAGAGTTCTAGCAGGAGAGATAATATGGGGATGGAACACACAGAGGGCAATTAACTCCAGTTCAGCTCCACCAAATCATCACATCCAGCAGCAAAGACACTGATGTTACAAGGATACTTGCAACAAACCACATGCAGCAATTTAAAGCTGTGCACGTTGATGTCTGAGTATGAGGAAGCGACTTTTGCAGAAAACAACACAACCCGATTGACAGCAAACCATGAGGAGGTGCGACAGTTGTTTCATTTTGCTTCTATTCTGACACTGATAATGCACACTCCAGTCAAAATACATACACATCGCTAACCCTAACTGCCTCTAATCGCACCCTGCCCCTCTGCGCTGAATCTGCCTTCAATGTGGGCAGCTTACTTGCTGACATGCTAACAGGTACACTTACCACTCCAGCTCTCCCCAGGTATGTGATGTTGTTATCCGCTTGGGACAGCATGTCCACTGCTGCCTGACTCCCATGGCCTGAAATGAAAACCCATCAATGAGACGGTGGCCCTGCACAGGTCATGCTTCCAGCAATTCAAGTGTTGCATCGTGTACGAATGAGCAGAGTCCAGCCTTGTCCTAACAGGAAGAAATATACTATGTTTCAAACAGCAATGCCCTTTTCAAGATGGTAAGGCACAACTAATTGCAGAATAATCATTGATCAACAAGTCTGCCACAGAATGCTCAAAGTTCAGGGATGAAATGGCAATGCTATGCCACATGCATGCGATACTCTTGCACCAAACAGGGCCACCAAAATCACCTATGTCCTGGCAGGGCATTCACCTCTACATTCTGCACTCACCATCCCTGAAAAGGTCATTGGACAGCTATATGGTCAGCTTCATCCACAAATACACACTGTTGTGGGCTGTTTGCACACACACAGGGCTAGTTGCACTCCAATTCGTTTCTATTCTTCCATGTCTGTTGGGGACCTAAATTGTGTGGATTGCTTTGACTTGGTCCCTGGCTTGCAACTGCACAAAAAACATTCCTTGAAAACACCCAGTGATGATTGCAAGGAGCTTTACTGGATTACTCTTGCCCTGCAACCATTTCTTTCAATTCCAGCAAAGCAATCTGAGCCAGAATGAATCTGAGAACTTGTGCATACTGCCCGTGACAACAACGCCACAGCAGTCAGGATGCTGACTGGTCAACATTATAAGGAGCGTGCTGGATGTCGTGAGAGATGGATGAGTGCTAGGACAGGTGTTTGTGGTGGGGAGATTGCTTCACTCCAGGTCATGTGAGATTCGGCCTAGAGTGTGGAGCTGCAGGCGATTGGAGAATTAGCTGCTTTGCCAGGGTGCTGGTCTTTTGTGTTGGAAAGCTTGGTTGGGCGGCTGGCAGCAAATTCGAGTCTCCCATGGGCATGGTGACAGTTGATGGAGTTGCTGGGAAATGAGCAGCGAGTGGGGTGCCCATGGGCTGCTGCCTTCTGTGGGGAGTGTGCACTTGTCCACTCTGGTGTTGCACACTGATGCATACATTCGTTCATTGGTATTGTCTGGAGAGTTTTAAGGCCATTGCTTATGGCCCCTGGGAATGAAGAAAAGGCTACGACCTCAATGCCACAAACTTGTTCGTTGCCAAGCATCAGAACACTTCTGTGCCACACAATACAGGCAGACTGCTGGGCATTGAGCTCACCACAGGCCCCAAGAAAAAAGACAGGGATGGGTGCCCTCTTCTTCTGTGACAAAAATTCCAGGACCTCCCCTTCAGGGTCAGCACCATCAAGCGTCTTGTCTGCAGACCAGCGAGCAGTAACTACTTAGTTGCTGTCACCATTGCAACTCAATGAACAATAGAAAACTCAATAAAACGAAATAAGCAAGGCAATTTGCATGTTCACAGAAATGTTTGTTGAGGCTCCTTGTCAAGCACAGACAGAGAGCGACAATATCAATTGAGGCTGTACTCGATCGCACACGCAGGTGTTTCCTTGGGTATGCCTGAATGACAAAGTCTGCCAGCAGCAAAACCTCACACACCAAAAAATGCGCTCGACGCCCTCTGGGGAAGGGTGGACTTTGCGTTTTAAGTGATCTGGCCAGGGGCAGGGTGGGGCAGGTTGAGCATGAATAAGATTGCATCTCAACAACTGCTGCTAACCGTCAGCACACGTGTCAATGGCCTCATGTCGCCGTCCTCTCTTCGCGGCTTCCTCACTCACCGGCGCGAGGGAAGAATCCCCCAACGCAGAAGAGCGCCGCGAATGGCCCCTTCGTCTTGTGCACCTTCTCCACGCGGGCCAGCAGCGCCTTCAGCTGCCCGTGAACGGCGCCGCAGACCAGGACTTTCACGATGGCCTCCATCCTTGCTGCCACCGTCGTCAACTGTAATGTCGGTGTATTCCTTAAAGGCGATTCGTGCTGGCCAAATCTGTACAGTCTTGAGTCTGGTCAGCATCATCTACTTGGAGCACTGGCATCGCATTTGTACATTCGATCAATCAATCAATCAGTCAACCAGCCCATCACGAAACACCAAAAATCAAGAAAGAGCAATAGCATGCCATTGATCTTTTAAGTGTTGTCCTCGCGCGATTTGAAGAAATTCGAGTCTTGCCTCCCCCCAAGCATAGATGAGCAAGGCTCGAGAATGGCTGAACGGAAAATGTTGAACTCATGGATACAAAGCAAAGAATCCTTGCGCTTTGTAGACGGGGAAGTGCATTTAGTTGGTAAGGCTGTGGAAAAGTGTGTCGGTCCCGAATTTCAGCTTTTCGAGACACTCAACTTGGAGAACTGCTCGTTCACTCAGTGGCGAAACTTCCGCGAAGAAAATGTAATCGTGAGACTTCAGCGCGTCCATCGCGCAGTGCGGCTCGAGCGGATGTGTGGCTCTGCGAGCCATGTCGCAAACTGTTTTCAGCTGGATTAAAGTCATTCTGGCGGACGTGCTCTCCCGGGTACGCTGTACTTTTGAAGCTACAGGGTGGCAACTACCTCGCACGCTATTGGGCTCCAGAGTCGGGGCAGGACGCTGACATAATGCACTTGCGCTCTTTGCTTGCCAGCGATCTGCAAATGGAAATAAGGCACATGTGAAGACCTCGGTAGCACGGTTCATAGGATGCATCCGTTGCCTGAGAGTCTAATTCATTCACAGTCCGGCACAATATTTAATCTCCATTCTCTGACTGAATCCAGTACTCAAATCACCTTCACGAGAATCTCCACCCACTTCTCCCACCCATTCTCGCAATGGGAAGATCAAGCACACCTCAATCCAGGGAGCTTCACCACCCATTTAAGCAAACCCCTGGCCATCCTTTACGTCTGCCCAGTACTTGGTGACACGATATCTGATTATCGAACTTCCAGCACTGTGAGTAAAACCGATGGGGGCTGAGGCGGGCGGGGTCAAGTAGCGACAAAAAGGCGGCCATATGCTTCCCTTGCACCCTTAGGCTATCCACCGACCTTCCCTTAAAGGGGGAGCCTGGGCAGCTATTCCAAGTCGGTGCTCTCCTACAACGTATGCCTAGAATGAACTTACCTCTTGCCTCAATTCCAAAACGCTTTCTAGACAAGGGCGGCCACAACTAACCACGGGCAAACAGCCAGAAACGGACGCAGTAGCCGACACGCCCGAAGAATGCGTGTCCATCGCCCGCGCACATCCATGTATCCAAAATTTGGAAACGTATCAGCTGAGAGTCAATTCCGCGTACCATGTGCCCGTGATGATTTGTGGCCCTTTTCGCACGACGCCCTCCCAAGTGGGGTTGATTCTCCAGTGCAGGCGCCAGCATGCGCAACCATTTGCAAAACAAACTGCAAGTGTGTGGTTGTGATGCCTTTAAAGGCACAAATTTGTGCCACTTATGGGTTGAAGCTGCTTCTGGTACGACATTCACGAATGAATTGGTGACTACACATCATTATAGGATCCTGGGAAGTTTGCGGCGTCGCTGTGAGCTGTTATGTCTTCTGAATTGTCATCAGAGAGAATTTGTGCATTTCCACAGCTTCGTGTTTCGCTGTTCACAGATGGCAAAATATTCCGTGACACCTGCGCGACTTACAGTGTTCTGAAAGGCCATTTCAGTGGATTTCGAAAGTGCTGTGTGCATGAATCCTCTCGTTTCGTTGGGATTCATGTGCTGCGTTCCAATGCGTTAATTTTAAACAACTTAATAGGCCTAAATAGCCTAAACATCCTAAACACCCCAAACATGCCTGATAGGCATGTGATCGTGACGCATTGTTGCCGAGCACACTATATCGATTTTGTTATGCTCAGTGCTAAACTGACGCTGAAGGGGGAGCTGCCGGACATACAACGCTCAGAACTCATGCAATTGCCACAAAGTCGATGTATGTTGAGGAGAGACCTGTGATGCTGCTGATCAGCGGCAAAGTCATTGTGTTTTCAAAGACCTCGCTTAAGCATTGGAGTTTTTGCGCGCACAGTCAATGGTCCCATTGAAGCCTCCGGGCCTGCCCATATTGCCTGTCATTATCTTGGATGTCTCATGTTCAACCCTGAAAACTCGCTGCAGTGCTGGTTGTCCATTTGTTCGGAGACGGCTGGATGTTATGTCGTGCCATTACATAATGCTGCTGAGTCATCTTGGCAGGATGAATTGGCGGGAGGAGGGGGAGGTCTAGTCTTAACGCTCATAACATGCATAGCGTGTTCTCCTAGTAATTCCTCCGTCCCATATTGATTGCCGTCTGCTTAAGAGAGAAATTTCGTGATGACAAGAGCATTTGAATTACAAATAGAGCCCACAATCGCAAAGATTGGGTCTCAAAACCCTTAAGTTGGAATTTTCAAGAAAAGACATTTAGTCCTCACTCCTTTGAGTTGGTCCCAAAGATTTCCTTGGCTCGGTCCAATACATGGGCGCTCAACTTTCGCGGTCCAACAGACCCCCCTGGCTTGGGGCCGTTCCCTTGCCCACGAGTTGCAACGCCAGTGCTTGGCACCGTTGTGGCAAGGGGCGGGATCCAGATGTGGCATCGCAATTGCCAGAAACACTCGAACATGCATTTATGAAAGCAGGATAATTATCTTCATTAGAAGCCATCGTCGCAACATTGACGATGCCCGGAATCGTCACCGTTCTCGATCTCCGATGGGCGGACCCCCAACGAGCAAACAGACCAGTGTCCAAAATCTTGAAGCTTGGGGTCATTGCAAGCTATCGCTCCAGGGATGCTTGGTGGCCTTGCTTTTACATTTTGCCTCAGTTGATGCTTGAATCGGGGCTTGCGTGGACCCCTAAGCCCTAAATCCACAAACAACCATTGTTTGTGAACACAGAGGCCGATGTTGGGTATGGCAAACATTCCATTACAACCTAGCAAGTTTCTATCGCTGTCAAAGTTGCTTAGCCATCCCGGTTCGAGACCCCGCTGGTCACAATCGATATTGTTGAACTCATTCCTTGAAACGGGATTCTCATATGCCACCATTTGATCATCGGATTACAAATCAGTAATTGACGGAGGCAGATCAGTGGTCATTTCTGGCTATTCGAACAGTCGCTCCAAAAGACGCAAATTCACCTTTGAGCCATCTTCCTTGCGCTCAGTGCTTTCAGATGCCAAAACAAGGACGAATAACCATTCTTGTGAGAAAAGCCCAATTCGCCAATTGTTTGCGCTATATCGGGGTGATAGCCATCGCCACCTCTCGCTCGCCGTTGGAAGGATTGGGAGACCTCCCTCAATTACCTCAAAGGCAGCGACGGAGCTCAAAATGTCCTGGCCGAAAAATCTATGCCCAGAACGTCGCCCCGAACCAGAAGCTAAAGCTTGAATTGCTGTTGTAAGCCACGGCGAGTTCGATGATCAAGGCTTTCGAAATGCGTTGTCCTTAGTTGTACCTTTTCGCAAGCTACGTGGCCAACTCTGAACGGCGTGGATAGTTTTACATGGATAGTTTTTTTTCGCTGCTGTGAAGGCGTGCTCCTCAAAATAGCCCGAAACGGCTGTTTTCGGTGCAAAGTCGGAAAACGGCCCTTTTTGGCCCGAGCACCCTTGCTACAAGAGTGCTGCCAAATCCTCAACAGTTAATGGATTGACTTGAAATTTTGACAGTATACTCCAACCTCAAAGCACAACTTTGGGAGAAATTCCATTCAAAACTGACTTGGGGACGATGCAGAAGTTATGCCTCAAAGTCGCAGACGACAATTAATACGGGACGGAGGAAGTGACATTGTATGACGCAGCACTAGACGGTGCTATGCCTCAAAACTGTGCCGTCAGATCTCCAGAAAGCTTGACAACTTCGAAGACCATTGAATGGGCCCATAACCTTACAGGAGCTGATGATGTCCATCTGTGGCTTGTGAGTTTTGTGCTCGTTTAACACATGCCGGGTTGCGCAAAGTCAACATCGCCGAGAGCCGCAATTCAGAGCATTGCATGCGGCCATTCCCTAAAGCATATGAACCAGCAGGCATCCACATGCAAGAGTCCTAGGGATGAAGCAAGCCGAAAAGACACCGCTTAGGCCAAGCCAGCAAAAATAGGTAGGTTTAAATGGGCACATAATGTACCAGGACATCTTCTCATAAAACTCTTCTATCCCTAAACAGCCTCCCCAAAGTTGCCCCTTCCAGCGGATTCATACACACCTAGCAGGTCCCGCGAAGCAGAGCCATAACCATGCGCATGGTGGATTCTGGCGCTCTGTGAACCCGGCTATTCACCTCTCTCCTAACTACAAGAATACTGATTCAAAGAGTAGGACAGGACACGAAGGATTTCCTCTCTATCAATGACAAACAATGGAATCAACGGGGAAAAGAATGCGATGTACAAATATCAAGACAATTGCACAGCTGCCATGCTTCTGTGGCCGAACAGCCACTGCTCATCACTGGCCCGCCTCAGCCAGGGTCGCCTGCGCCTGGGGCAAAAGGAGTGACGGGTTGTCCAAGTACATCTTGAACACTCGAGCCGTGCCTCTGAGATCGTGGCCCACTGGAACATCCAGGTCGCCTTGGCAAGCCTTGCTGTATGTCTGCGGAACGTCAAAGAACTTCTTCCCCTTTTGGCCTGACTCCCTGTTGTCCTTCATCTCGTGGATCAACCACTCCACAAGGTCGCTGTCAAAAAGCTCAGCCAGAGACGCACGCAGCTTGGCACCCTTGGTCTTGGATTTGACGTCATACCTGCATACCAGTCACGCTGCTTAGGCTTGGGGCTGCCTGGACTTCCCGTCTGTAGTCATCTTCTGTACTGCCTGGGTATATATTAAGGTACTTTGAAGTACAAAAGTGTGCATTTGCCAATATGCAATATACCAAGGACTAGATTCTTTGTAGCACTGCAATTGCCAAGAATGTCAAGTGGAAGCCAAAATCAGGATGCTGTTGAGGCCCCAAAACTGCTACCTTCTGCTTGCAAGAACCTGAATGTGCTCACACTGACGTGCGCCGCCACATGATAGACGGGCAAGATGACAGACAGTGCCTTCTTTCTAGAATGTGCGGAGACAAGCATTCAGCACACAGACTATGAAAACATGGGAAACACTCAAGTCAGTGTGCACAATCTTGTTCACAATCAGCTCTTGAAGTGCCCAGTAGGGCGATGCCAGCACCAATCACGTGCCAGTAATCGACCAACCTAACCATGGTGGCTACAACTGGTCACGCACAGCTGGTACGTCAATCACCACTTTGGTCACATTTCAACGTGCCCTTGACAGCAGCCCCATTTGCACAAAGCAAGACGTGGCAAGTCCCAAGGGAGTGATAAACTTTGCTCATCTGTCAGCAAAACCAGGAAGCCATCCTTACGTGACGAACTTCAGCTTCTTTGCTGTCACTGGGTCCACCATCGGCCTCACGATGGTCCACAGGGCCTCAAAGATCTTTGGAGTGTCCACCAGGAGGTACACCCCCAGCCGCTCAGGGTAGTGCATCGCTGAGATGTCCAAAAACTCTCTTGCCATGGCGGGGGACAAGTCGGCAACCCCAAAGCCGTGGAAATCAGAAACCCAGATCCACTGCTGCAGCCCGTCGGCAGGCATCATGCGAATAGCCTGAGGGTCAACATCAAACTCAGGCTCTGCAAGAAGATCCAGTTGCAGGGCTGCTTGCATGGCTGCAAGGATAGCAAAGAATGCACAAAGCAGAAGGTCTGTCTGGTTTGGATTTGGCATGCAGTGGTGATGTTGCGCACCACGCTCAAACAAATGCGCTGAGAACATTTTCCCTACCAGCTGCTCACTAGTACGCCAAAACAGTTCTTTTGGTGGAGCCATTGACACACCAACTCTACTACCTAGAAGAGGGACCTCAATGACTCACGCAGAACCACAAATACCATGTACCCAGGTGCAACCAACTTTGGGTAGTGTTCCTCGTGGCCCAGGGTAGGCATAGAGGCATGCTCTAGACACCGCTCCAAGAGTATGCTCAGCCATATCTTTCTGCAAAGGAAATTGTGGCACATGCATGTGTGCTCTTATTGCAAGTACCAGCAAGGCGCACCTGCTCAAATTTTGTAATCAGATGGTCCCGGCCATGTTCGGTGACTTTGTTTGGTGACAACGCCATGCAGCTGTAGAACACTGGCCTCTGCAGCTTGCAAAATCCCACAACTTGCATGTAGTGCGACCTGCACAGGGCATTGACAGTTGATTAGGCAAGAGAGCGCTTTCACAGGATACCATGTTGCAGCCTCATGTGTCCAAGTTTTTCCAGCAGAATGATTGTGTGCTATTATTTCTCCACACTTCCATGGGAAGATGGCTGCCACACGCAGCATAACCCTGTGGGGTTTAGCATTTGCAACCAAACAAAACATGAACACATATCAATGCAGTGATACGAAATTTACAACATATTTCAACACACCTGCTTTCTATCCGAAACATGTTGCACATTCTGCAGAGGAACTTAACAAAGCAGCAGACTGTACCAATCCCCAAGTGGTCAATTCGTTTGCAGTGCAGTACATTCATTTCCACACAGACTATTCCCAACAACTCTTGAGATCACCACAGCAGGCCATACTACCTTTGCAGAGACCTTTACAACTCTAACATATACATCCCAAGGTGCAGATTCTGTGCAGGTGCAAGCTTCCTATCACTTGTGCTGCCTGGAACTGTTCTCGCACATCTTTCAAGGTGTTTGAGGAATGGGGAAGGTGCGTTTCACTCCCCCTCATCTTGCTACACTACAACCAGCAGATCAAGTCAGTCACCACCCCAAAATGAGGGCCTCACTTGGGGTCAGCAGCACAAGCCTTGCACACCACCTTTCCTGGCTGCACCCGCCTTTGCCAAGCCAGTGACAGCTGGACCCTGTGTGCAGCCTGCAACGTCGCATATGCCCCAGGCGTAAGCACCTCTGCGCGGTGATCCCAACATACATGGAAAATTTTGCCCTGTGCTGCAGCTAGACACAATGAGCAATCTCTATGGTGCAGATGACGCACTGCTCTTAACAGTTTGAAAGCCCAGCGCCTGTTTGGCAGCGTTCAATAACTGCAGCAGCCGTGGGCCAGAACTCCCATGCCTCCTTCCAACATCAGTGAAGTCTGAAACCAGTAACAAGCAAACCTGGCAATCCAAAAATGGCAGCGCAAGCAGACTGTCAAACATAGATCAATGGGAGGAATACGACCACGAACAAAACAATCAGAATCAGCGTTTTGGATGCGCAGCCAACGAACAGACATATCTGAGTGCAATCGCATTCATATGTGTCTTGCTGACGCAGCGATTGCAACCAAGCGCCACAACAGGTCACAACAGGTTGCCCCCCAGCCCACCCCTCTAATTGCAAGTTTCTGTTGTGAATGCGTGCATCAAATATCACAAATCACTGCCCTTCCACAGAAGGGGGGATGTTAGGCAGTGCTAACAGGCGCAGTAGTTTGTAAAAAAGCCTCTTCGAGTCCCAGAGACTCCTTGATCCTTTCCCGTTTGTTTTGCCTCTAAATGTCTGTCCTTGCATGGCCAGCTTTTGTTCACCTTTTTCGTGTCTCCGGACACAGCACACAGGTATCTATGGGCCATGGCATCGTCACAATCCTTGTTGTCTTGGTCACTGAGCTGCGATCGCAGGCCCGCCACCATTTCAGGCGTCACAACCAATGCGCCGTGACCCATGACTCACCCAGAATCACAAAGGCCACCTTCAGCAAAATAGCAAGCAAAACACTTAGGCGCGAAAGTCGTGGCTTAGCCCGTGAGCCTTGCCAAGAGGAGGGACGTTTCGTTCATTCAAGGAACGAAAAGAGTTGGACGCATGGACACATCCACAACTGCCGAAATCACATTCAACGCAACGGCAATGGCAGTTGAGCATCCAGAGCATCCAGCCGACACCTGCCGCGGGCGGCAGTTTGGGCCAGTCAATGTCACGCGGTTTGGGGCCCCCACCAGAACCACTAGCTGGGCATCGCGGCGCAACAACCGCGATGCGATTTCTGATAACAATCGCCTCCCAGTTGGATCAGCCCGCCCGCACGTACAGCATCCCAAAGAGCCCAGAGCGGGCACGCGGGCGCCACCACGGTCGACGAAATCTGGACTGGCCCCCAACAGCGGCCCAGGCGCTGTTGGCAGAGCGCAGCCATGGGCTTTGTCTTGGGCTTGCCATGCCGAGCAGCACGACTTCCATCCACCCTTATTGGCCAGCGGTGGTGCCGGATTGGCCAACCAGCGAGCGTAACCTGCAGCCTCACAATGCTCAGCTGCTGTGGACAGGCCGAGGCTCCAGTTGGCCACTTGCCCACTCACCTTTGCGACCAACGGCAACAGCGGCAACGTTGGCAGGGTCCCGACTTGAGCGGCAGCGGTGGTAAGTCTGGGCTTGAGTGCCGGTGCGCGCTGCAGGATATGGTCACATTCCTCGTGAAGCGAAACCGAGGGGCTGGAGCCGGGCTCACCAGAAAACCACGTACAGGGGCGCAAAGGTGTAGATAAGGCGAATGTAAGCGGCATCGTACTTGGATGGTACGGCTGCTGCGCGCCGTTCTCGAGCTCCCCCATGGGCAGTAACGCAACGGCACCAGTGACGGGTTGCAGCGTCCCTGATGTGCGCATGAGGCGATGGCCCGAAGACAACGCGGCGGCAGGTCACACCTTGTCAAACGTTGTTGCGCTTGGCGTCGAACTGACACATGTCAACATGTTACAACCTTGCGCAAAGTACAATGAAGCCCGGGAGCAACGGGGGCATTTCGGGCACGAATTCACGCATATGTGAGAGGCGGGAATGGAGAGTAGAAATAACGGAATTGGGATAATTGACATGAGCTGAGAAGAGGCCCAAACTTCCCTTGGCTTGCCCGCAATTCCTGTTGGGCTTTCCGCCTCCAAGGACGCCTCCCAAATGTATCAATTGACGGCCACCCGGGTTGTCCCCATGGCGTGCCATCTCTTCAAGCATCCCACTTTTTAACCTGCCATAATTGCCGCAGTGCTTGTTGTTTGCATTCCATCAAACTTATCCTCCTTCCCCACAGCTTTTCTAACCGTCCCGTGTCCGTTCATTAGATCAAACTAAGAGATCAATTGGATATACTTTGATATCGGATCTGCCAAGGCACCCCCGGAGTGCTCAACTTCCCTTTTTGAAGGCTACGCATTCTTTTGGACTCTAACACCTTTGGGGCTTTACATCACCTTGCATCGTCTTGCGAGGTGGCACAAGGCTCGCGTATCTTGTGGCAAGACAGGGTAGGCACCTGGACATTGAAATGTGATGTAATGTGTTGGAGTAAAAAAAATGTGGAACAACTAGGTGCGCCACTAGTGGCGCCAGCAGTGATGACTTCGATTGCTTGAAGCCGTCATGGAAACCAAGAGGATACATATCATGAAATGCAAGAGGGGGCATGCGATGTGGGGACATCGTATATTTGTACCCTCATACGTCCCAAATAGATTCCAGACTTCGGTGCAAGAACCTAATTGAGAAATAATCGCCGCCCCCACCATCAGCGAGGAGGACACCACTTTGATTTTGCAACACCAGCGTTCAACACCCCCCACACTCCAACCCCTTTTCAAGTGAAACTTGGTTGATTCCACAACATTGTTTAATGTTTGCATTATAAACTCTATAAACCTTATTGTGTCGCATCCCATTTACTATTGATATTATATTTGAGCATGCTTGTGCAAACCTCACAGCATGCTGTCGACTCTTTGCAACATTCCTGGGATCACCAGTTCATTTCCTTCTCGCCGAGGAGTTCTCAGACATACGCAACGCCACAGTAATATATCTTCCAAAACTGAAAAGTTTATTGAAGAATTCCTTCACACCAACGGCTCTCACCTGCTTTTGTCCCAATCTGCAATGCACAACTCAAAGCAATGCTGTGATGTACAGCCATGTCAGAAACCAGCCTAGTGATCCGTTCGATTTGGTTAGAAAACCTGTCATATGCACCCTATAACACAATTTCCATGCTGCTCTCGCAGCGCATCTACGGCCAATATCTTCTTGTTATGACTCTTGTTATCCCAATTTTCAATTCACTGCAATCGCCACAGAAGTTGTTTTTTTTCCTCCCTTAAAAATTGTTTTGAAGTTGTGTGGCATCGTTAGTCAATGTTGGTGAATCATCTGGGCATCGAAGTAAGGATTTACGCCAAGAGAGAGGGGGGGCTGAGCTTAACATCACATTGATGCCAAGCTTGCTAAATTTTAAAAAGTGTCTTCCTCAAGTCAGCTTCGAATTTGCCTCAATAAAGGCCAACAAATGGAACAATCAAATAATTTGCCCCCGAATTCATTCGTGTTATATGTCGAATTCTCTCTCAGGATTAAAATTGTTCTCCAAACAACCCATTTTGTCTCTTGACAAGCTTTGCAGTGGCCGCTGACGCGGGCCACCCCGCGCTCCGAATCACGTGCTCGAAGCGCAGACTAGTCGCTGGCGCTGAGACACAGGTGGTCACAACCCAGCGAAGCGGAGCGGTGGTTGGTCTGTGGCGTCACTCCGGCCCGTTGCTGCAGTAACGGAGTTATCAAGGAGTGTTCACAGGCGTCCCTTCACATGTTCCCGTGTCAGCGACCCAAAACCCCCACCACCGCACTGACCTGGCCATGAGGCACTCGTACAAGACCCTCAAGGACGGGGACGTGCTAGGACACGGTGGCACGGAGGCGCCTAGCCGGCGCAAGCTGTGGAAGAGGTCGATTGTTGCTGTCCTCGCCGTTGTCGCCTTCGTTCTGCTGCTCTACGTCGCGGCACCGCCGGCCAACGATGATCGACACCACGCGATTGAAAAGGAGGGCGACCGGTTGCTGTTCGTCGCGGTCTTACATCGCCACGGTGGGTGCAACAGCGCTCCGACCCTGCTTTGGATGCCCTGCCTGTGATTGGGCTTTGCGGATGTCTCGTTGTCGGATGCGAGCTTTGGTCGAGCAGCGCTGGTGTAGGCATCTCCGCGGCTGATCACGAAATTTGCTTGCAGATTGAGAGGCTGTTTCTGCAAGGAGAGGTCGGCATTGTCGCCCGCGGATTTGTCGCCCGCGGATTGGGTTGTCTTTGATCCCGCGAACATGTGACGTCCCAATGATGCACGCACGCGCGCTGTGTGATTGGAATTTATTGTTTGGCTGCTGCAAGGAAGAATGGAGAAGGCCTTGGTTGCCAGAGCCCCTGCTTTTCCAATTACCAAGCCAGCGTTGTAGCAGGCCAAGCAAGCGTCCATTCCCAAGTCGCTTTTGGGAGTGTGTGTGTGAATATAGCAAGTGCTCTCATGAACATCCTGAAACGCGGACATCGGCACTTTGCCCTGCCGCGGTTGGTAACATACAGCACAACAATTTGCCTTCTTGGGCCCACATGCTTTGCTTTTGCACTTATGCTGTGGATGTTTCCAGGCCTTGTGCACTGTGTAACCCAATGCAGCTTTCGGGATTGGCTGAACTTGACTGCTTCCATTTCTTTGCTGGCCAGGCGCTAGGACGGGCTTGCACCATTTCACCTTCGAGAATTTCACTTGGCCGTGGAAGTTTGGGGCTTTGACGCCAGAAGGCATGAGGATGGTAATTTGCACCGTGTACAAGAACATGAAGTTACAGCAGCAGATGTTAGAATTGTCTGTTTTGTAATGTTATTGTCAATAGCTGAATCTGTGGCATGACTGACTGTTTCAATTCATTGCTGCCACGCATTTTTCTATGCTTTCAAGAGACCTGTTAGTTTCGCTGCTAGCCTGAGAAGGCGAATAGAACTAGCCCCCAACCTCGAATCTGGGGCCCCGATTTCGCATGCATTCTGGCAGAAGCCATGTGCACAAATCATTTCACATCCCTTCACAGTCACTGCAGTGCACACCTTCTTTAGTTGCGTTCAAATTGGGGAGCACACGTCCTTCATCTCATGGTCCCATTGGGGTGTTCCAAGCAAAATTGGAACATGTCATACAACAGGCCTCACATCCTCACCAACCTTTGGCTTGTGAGGAGGCTTTTCCATTGTAGGACATATTTTCCTTTCTGTTGCAGAGGATTTTTCACACAAATGCTTGTGCTGTGGACAAAGACCTTGTTGTGACCGCTGCAACAGGGTTTCGAGATGGGGCAGAAGCTAAGAACTGACTATTGGCCGCACCTCTCAAGTGGGAGCTCGAAATTGGACATCAATGTGACATCTACAGACTACCCCCGAACCATAGACACTGTCCACAGCCTGCTTGTTGGCCTATTTCTTGAGGGAGGAAATGAGGCGGATGTTGTTCAGGGCAATTGCTCGTGCAGGCCAGAGTTTGGTGGAAAAGCTGCTCCTGTTGACTGCATTGGGAAGTGTCTAGGACTTGATTCTGTCCCGACGCATCTACCCCCTGTGAAGGTCCTAAATGCATCGAACATTGAGGTGGGTTGTAGTGCTGTGCTTTGCAGCACAGCATGCACATATTTGAAACACAGCCTCAGGACATGAATTTGAACATGGGAGTTCTGATGTACATCGCCACTGTATGGATTTGCAACCAAACTCTTTTCCCGTTTGCCTTCATTACCTGTGATGGCGAAATGGAGCCCATTCATCCATGAGGCGATTCAGTGCCAAAATGCCACTGCAGTGTTTCTGCCCTATGTCACAGGAACCAGGGCTGTATATTGTGCAATGGACAAAGGCCTAAATTATGGATTAGGTACAAGAAAAGCATTATCTTCAACTGCTTAGCCCAAATGGCATAAAGCAGTCTGCAGCATGCACGTACTTTACATTTCAGCGCTAGGGCGCTGCTATTTCGATACTGAGGTGTGGGCACAGGTTGTCAGAACTGGCTAGAGGCTATTGCCTTAGGATGGACTTTACCGCAAGAGGTTTTGTAAAGCATATGGTGTGAAAGGTGTTGATAGTGCATGGTGTTGCTGTAACTAGAACTGATTGAGTAATATTAACAACTGAATGCATGAAAAGATGATGAAGTACTAGGAATTGCATTAAAGACATCGATGAACAGACTGAATATAAAGGACAGAACGCCTGTTGTCCTTTTGCCTCGGCTGTAAACCGTTGCCGTGGACTCGAGCGTACCATTCTCGTTCACGGATCGCCTCCCCTCGATCCTGCCTGCCTTCGATAGTTTCAATATCATACCCTGATTATTGCTCCAGCAGGAGTGAGCCACTCAAGTCTCTAGGCCAGGTGCACCACAAGGCTCACAAAGTTGATTGTGTGGAAAAGACATCTGATATCTAAGTTGAACAGATGTCGGCTTATTGCAACCTGCTCTTGTAAGATTCTGTATCCAAAGTCCTTGTGGATGTAATATTGAATGGATAGCACGACTGTTTAGTAACCCTAGCCATATGGCTGTCTGGTCCAATAAAGACACTGGACTCAGCCACAACACAAATCTTGATGACTTTTGGGACCATCTAATCCTATGAACGAGTCCCTCCCCCCCCCCCCTCCTCACCGCTCACCCACCCACCCACTACACTACCACCATTGCTCTCAAATTGGAAATTTCAACTCATAAGAATGGTGATCTCAGTGGTGCAATTAAATGTGGCCTGAGTGTATAGAGTGCACACCTTCTGTGTTGCAGGCCTCTTTGCTGAGGCAGCATGATGTTTGCAAGGAGTATCAGACTTGGAAGCTTGAATGGAACAAGAGCGAGGAATATAAGACTGCACTCAAAGACTTTTCAAAACAAATAGACTTTGTAAAGCAGGTACGAGCTTTGCGAGCACACTTGCACCTTGTGCTTGCCTTGAACTGTATGTTGGCAAGGCCAAGGCCAACCCATATCATCAATAGGATCTGTGGAATGCGACTGGGCTGTGTTCAAACTTCCACGAGGGAGCAGCAAAGTACAATTGGCTTGAAAGGGGGCCCCATGTCCAAGTACATGACGGGCTGTTTGTCAACAGGACATTGCCTGTCACTTGGTCGCCTTTAACTTGATGTTCTTTGTGTGGGCTCAGCTAGTCCAGATGTTGTTCATTGCTTGCCTTCCTTTTCGTTGCACATGGAAACGTGACTGAAGATTGTTTATGAACAGAAGCAGTCTTCTTCTACAAACAATGGGCATCAACCTTCTGAACAAAGTTCTGTGTCACATTCATTTCCATGCCATAGATATTGATGCGGAAGTCTCTGATTAGAACTGTAACAACAGTGCGACTCAGAGTGGCATAATTCGCATGAAAACATTTATAGTTGGGGTGAAGGCCCCCACACGGGCCCACATGTGGACTATTTGATCTCGTTGGCCTGCGTGTGCAGGTTGTGGATGATGAACGGCTATGTGCTGACGATCCAGCAAATGAAACAATGGGGGGAAATGCATCAACATGGTGTGACAACATCACACTGTATGGTGTGGAGATGGTCTGGGACAGTGCTGTGTGTGCATTGGCGGAGGGCATGGACTACCCGAGCCCAACAAATCACACAGATCTGATCAATAGACTGCAGCCGACTGTGGAGTTCCTGCAGCACCATTTGTGAGTGCATTTTGTGCTGACCTGGGCAGTCGTGATGATTCCTTGGGCTGCTGATGGGTTGTGAATCATGGAGACGAAGCATCAATTGCAGGTTGTTTTAGTCTCTGCCACCTCCCTATGTCAGCAGGTGCTGGTCTGCTTTGGATGCACTGTGCTTTGTGCTTTGGCGAACATCAACCTTGTGTGTACCTCGTGTGGGCGGTGCATCCTTGTGATCTTTCGCCTCCATTGAAACTGCACGATGCAGTGATGGATTGATAGAGATGCCGTATTTGAACGAAGCCCAGATAGCAACACCCACAAGAACAACAGCAGCTGGAAAACGAGTACTGCAAAGTGGCTGTAGATACGAAACAAGGAGATGTTCAAGGGGCTGTGTTCATCCATATATCATGGCTGCCAACGCTGCAGCAATTCTGGAAAAGTTGTGGTCGTAATGGGCACATCTTTGGGCTCAATATTAACCCTATGAGATGTGGTGTGGCTGGATGGGTGGGATTCTGATACTATTTCTTTCTTCTGTGTTTCTTTGCAGAACCACTCAGCTTTGTTGCTGCTTGTTGGCAATTCCCCGCCCTTTTCTCGTGGACGTTTCACTGGTGCCTTTCTATCATTTCATTTCTGTTCTCCTTTTTGCTGCCTATTTCCTTGCCTGGGCTTCTCTGCCCTTCTTTCAACCTTGTGCAAATTGACGCTGCACGGAACTATGAACTGGGGACATTGAACAGACCGTGCATACCCTGCTGGTGTGCCCGTCATGCCCTGCAAGGTGCAACGGAAATTCTTTGCAGTGATTTCCTCGACATATTTCACCTGTGGAATTGCGGGGCCCAGTATCGGTGGTGCCCAATTTTGTAGTTTGTCCATTTCGACATCTCCCCACTGGTTCAAGTTATTGCTGAGTGGGTCGCTGGAACACCACGGCTCCAACCTGGAAATGCAAGGTTGCCACAAGTGCTTGAGTAGCCGTGTTGCATGCACAATAACAATCTTTGGTATCACTCTGCAGGTACAATGTGCAGCAGGGCCCATACGTTGGCGGCATTCTGCTCAACGACATACTTGTGCGCATGAAGGCAGCCGAAGGCACAGCTTCTGTGTTGCTGAAGTCACAGAACAGGAAGATGGGCACAATTACCAGCGCTCAAGGTGCCAGCATCCCCTTGCATCAGCCCTTTCCTGACTACCTGCGATCCACCCATGTTCGGGACCGTTTTGTGCTTGCTTTGTTTCCCTTGTCACTTGTGTCCGTTGCCCTGTGGATTTGTAATGTCAGTCTTCGTGCCTCTCATGGAGTTCAGTGTTCGAATTGGAATGCACGTCACCACAGCTCTTGTCCTCATGTGGATTCCCTCAACTGGCGTGTGTTCCTGTACATGGTAGCAGCGATTCTGAGCATTGTAAGGTTGCCACAAGGCGATATATTGTCACCCTGGGCAGTCGAACGTGCCACCTCAGCTTCGTACCGCACATCCCACAAGCTGGCTGCCTGTCATTTTATGGCAAACAGATGCGCCACAGCAATTGGTGGCCGCATCTATCCTCCTCTCCCACTGCAACTGCACGCTCTCGTCGCAGGAGTCCAGTAGTCTTGCATGCCCCTGCAGGAGGGGCGTGGCGGAATTTGCGCTGCTCTTCACTACTGTTGCCTTGAATTCCTTGTGATAGCACATGGCCCCGTAGGGCTGAGGGGTTGCCCTGCTGGCTGAAGCCGAGGACAGGCAGCCACGCACGTTTGTCGTTGTGGACAGCCATGTTTGTCGGTGCACAACCAATCGAAGCAGAGATGGTTTAGAGCGCAGCTTGACAGTGCCACTGCATGTTCTTGCCCGCCAGGTGCATCGATGGCGATATACTCTGCACATGACTCCACGGTGTCATCCCTGCTGGCCGCCCTTGGCATGAAGAACTGGACGCTGCCGTACTTCATTGCCCACATCACCATGGAGCTGTGGGCAGCGGACAGCTTGAATGTATCGGGTCCGAGAGTTGTTTTGAAGTACAATGACGGCAGGGAAGACCACGTGCTGGATATCGAGGGCTGCTCCAACGGGGAATGCTCATTCAAGAGCCTGCTGAATGCAACGGCGGATCGGCGTTCAACGATGGCCGACTGCACTTTCGTCGAGGACACAGAGCCATGAAGGGACAAAGGCGTATGGCGATGTCAGAAGTTGTGGTTTAAATCCGTTGCTTTCTGTGAGGGCGACAAAATCATGACGAGTAATTATAAGGGCAATGGTATTAAATATGGTGAGATTAGACACGGTGAGTACAGTGATAAAAACATGGTGCATGTGGGAACGGCGTTTCCTACCCGGGGGAAGGGCTTCTACGAACAGTATTTGGTTGGCATGCCTGTCTCGTAACGCATCTGGTTACGGGCTTGCTTCCCGTGCCTGGGAGCAACCGTGTGCGGGTGCGCACAAGGCGTTCCGTTTTCCTGACAGATTTCATTGGCTGTCATGCCAAGGTATGACCTGGCGCAGTCCAGGGTGGTTTTCTGTGGCGGGTAACCAATTTCACGTCGATGACCCCGTTTGTTCTGTGCCCCTGCCTTGAAGGAGTTTGTGGTGTTGGCGTCACATGCGGGGACTTGCAGAGCACAAACGGTAGAACAAACGCTTGTACTGGGGCTACACGCGAGCGGAAATAGAACCAGTCCCAATAACGAGACGGGTTTCATTCTGGCTTGGATGTAGCCCCCACCATTCTTGGAGTGTTAAAGCAGCCCTGAGGCCAACCAGGGGACGGCTATCCGAAATGCACAGCCCTACTTGGTTGCAGTGCGCAGGCATCGGCGGTTTCTTGGCCCACCTCTGGTCAGGACCCAATGTGTGCAGGGCACAAGGGCCGCTGAGTCTCCACGCAGCAGTGGAGGCCACCCTTCGGGTGAATCCACTGACCGCTCGAGATCACCACCACAGTGGGCTCCTCACGTTGGGCTCAACATGGTCCACAGATACCGCCACACTTTGCTGTTCAGGTCCAGAGAGCTCATGGGCCAATGCCACCGCCAGTCCCACTTTTGGCAGCTGTTTCATGGCGTGATGACGTGCACGTCCTGCATTGGGCCTGCAGGAAATTCACAGAGTATACCTCAAAGATTGGATTGCCTTCCCTCCGTGGCCGCTTTCATTGAAAACCTGCACAAGCCACCCCGTTTGGTATTTGGGCGCAATCAAAACAACGATATTTCCACAGATGAAGGGCTGCAATGCACGGCAAGCGTGATAGCGCCGTGGTGTGGCTCAGCTGTGCGTGAGGGCGTGGCCAGCATGCGCTGTTATGCCCCAATTGTCGTTTCTTTGCTTGCATGGCATCGATATCAATGCACACAAAGTTGCGCGTTTGGCCATGAGGTCTGTGCAAACACGTGAATTTCATGGTGCTATTTGTGCCACTCCACTTTGACATGTCCCCATGCAATTCCCTTGGCCGTATTCCTTCACATTTTTTCGCCCTCCTGTGGGCGTGAACTGGACACTGCACCGAATCCTTCAACGGACAACTATCTACTCGATAACCGATGTCTCAAAGACATCGATGCCTTGTTGTCAAGTCCTGGTTCGCAGATTGAATTTAGTGCATGCCCACATCTGCATCATATTTTGCTGGTCAGGCGCATCACCTAAATGGCCGTTGGTGGTGTCCATTTGCTCTGAAGCCGATGCCTTGATGCTCGATGCTGCAACCCCGTCTGCCATGGCCTTTCCGGCTCCGTGATCGCCCGTGGGCAGCCATGCGTGATCATGTCTATTGCACCGACGTACCCGAGAAAAGTGCCTAGCAGGTCGTTGTACAACGTGGAGCCATGCACTTGCACCTTAACGTTGCGCTCCTTTCCCGCAGCTCGCGCTGGCAGAAGGGTGGCGCCCATTGTATGTAACACTTTCTGGCAGTGCACAGCCGCTATGACATCAGTATGATACATGTCAGGACGGTGTGTCGGCCAGGCGTATTGGTATGTTGTCCTTTGCATCTATTGGGAACACTAACGTGGCCTCCCTTCCCTTGGTACCAAGGAAAGCGAGGCTACGTTAAAACGAGGCTACGTAAAACACCAGTGCTTCGTCGACATCATGTCCACCTTCGCTCTGACCCATTGATGGTGTACACCAACAGCGAAAAGTATGGTGCACGACACACGTGTTGGTGCACGACAACAATGGGGTGTGAAAAATACGCACTTTTCACACCCCATCGGCTGAATCCTGGACAACATTGGGCGCCAGCTCACGTGTTTGTCAAAATCATCTAAATATTTCATGTAAGCTACAGTTAGCGGGAAAATGAACTGGGAAGCTCTGGTATCGCTTGGCTGTGTTGACTGGGTGCACCTCCTCTCAGCGGCCCCCCACTGGAACGCTTGCTCCGTGCCCAAGGCCAATTCGATGCAACGCGGCACCGCGAAGCGCTCCCCCCCCCCCCAAAATTGCAAGATTACTCGCCCCCATTGTGCTGGATGGCTGCGCGAAAACCCACCCAGGTCGAATGACGCAACACAGGCTGAGTTCCCCAAGCGTTTTCGTACCCAAAGAACGAGTCCATTTGTGCTAGATTGAGTGTGAGTTGCACCATTTGAGAGGTCCACATGTCCAAGCCCACCGAGCTTGGACAACAAAAATACAACAAGCGCTGCTTCACGCTCGTCAACGGTGTAATTAAGGGATTACTAATAATAACAGCATTGTTTTTCCTTCTGCGTTAGCTGCGTGCCTTCATGGCTGGTTAATGGCTGCAGGAATGGTACAAGTAGTCAGGATCAGTGAGTGCCTACTCAGCCTCTCGCCCTTTGAGCAGGAAACCACCAGCGGAGTCGCCCAACCGCCAACCCACCGCAGACGCGCCTCCTGACGTTGGCGCTCCCCCTCACCGAGAGCCCAGCGCTGGACGCGGGGTAACGAGTGGTGACTTGTCGACCGGGCATCACAGGTGCGTGCGGTGTGCTGGTCCAGATTCTTGTTGGCATTTGCAGCGGCGTGGATTCATTTTTTCTGTGCGCTGCGTGCGCATGTCTCGAACTTTCCTCTCTGTTGATACAACACCCCTCTCCGCAGGGGCTGCTTGCCCATGTGGATCCCATTTAGCACTAGACGATGGGCGCCGCTGTACTGCAGCTTTGTGCTGATGGTGTCCATGTCGCTTTCAATTTGAGTCGGTGGACGGATGGCTGCAATTTACCAGTGTGCATTAGATCGGTGCCTTCCCCTGCATCATCTCTGGCGTTACATATTTCTGATCTCCAAAAAAATTGGGAGGGAATTTGAGATCTGCGATGCCAATGCCAATTGGTGCATTGCATCATTTCACAGGTCCTATATACTCATTCAGGATATTTGCACACACACACACACACACACACACACACACACAACATGAGCCTTGCTTTGCGCTGCATCGTCGTTGCTCGCATAAGCATAACATCGATTGACAGCATTTGTGAAGCAATTTGGCCATGCAGCACCTCAATAGGGTGCATCCCAGTTATGCAACCTGCCATTTGGGTTCAATCAATTTGTTGTGGGCCTTTGCAGAGATGAAGCCTGCATTGTTGATTAGTCTTGTCACCCTGCTCGCTGTGGCACATGCGTACGTCCAGCCAAGCCTGCTCAGTCCCGACATGGGCCTCAACAATGCCATTGTGGCAGCAGCTGCTGGTGAGAAGCCCTTTCGACTGCTGTCCTGGGTGGTATTGGGTCCCTTGCTATGCCAAATTTGTTGTAAAGCAATCAGAGCCCAGACCAGGGCCTTGCAAGATTTGGTCGTCAGGGGTTAGAGCTTCATGAGGTCTGATATGTGAGCATAAACAAACTGCAGTTGCCAAATAAGACATCTGATCGTCAGTGCTTTTACAAAAGGACTGGAACTCTGGTGCAGGGGCAGGAGGACTGATTTGCTACTTCCAGGTGGGCTGCACTCTTATGTTTGATGGGCGTGTGTCTTTTCTGTCCAGTTCTCCACCAAAATTTGTGGTGCCCACTGGTGGTACTGCGAGTTTCCACACATCTTTTTTTAGGAAGCTTGCTCTTCTGTATGCAGGATCCACAATCTGTGCTGCACAATATCTACCCAATTGCGAATGGGAAATTTGACACTTGCTGAACCAGTGATCTCCAGCACATAGGGGCAATGAGACACTAAGATCACTGCAGTGATCATACAGTCATCACCGTTACACTGATACCTCATATCTCATTTCTACGCTGAAGTGGCCATGCCCCTGTGAGATTTAGCTTTCCCAACCATTGATGTGCCGTTTCTTTTCTAGCGGACGAAATTGCTGCTTGCCATGGAGCACTTTGAGATGATCTGGACCCTCCGGTTGCCGATTTGACTGCAACTGTTTTGGCTGTGGACAGGTCGAATTCACCACTGCAGGCAGCTCACTCGTTGTCACAAACCAGATTCAAACAGCCATCACGAATGTTGTGGACCAGGTCGTGGCAGGGGTCGATGCTTGTGCCAAGCCAAAGTATGTTGGTCGTGCATAAAGATACCAGCAAGCAGTATCTGTGCGTATAGGAGCCATCATTGGCCCTGGGACATGTGCAGGCTGCTGCACCACCAACATTGAGTTTTGCACAAAAGATACGGGGAATTCGCCAACTGTGGCAATGATATTGTTTGTAGTGGAATTTCTAGTGTGTGGAATGCTCATATCAATGCTGCCTTTGTTGCCTTCATGGATTTCAGTGCCAAAAGTTCTGGCCACTACACTGTTCAAACGTCCCGATGTTCATTGCACAGAGAAAAGCATCCCAGTATGCTTGTCTGTGGTGTTTGTGAGTATGTGCTTCCCAACCCTTCCCAACCCAGCCTTGCTGTGTGCTGTGCAGCCGGGTGTCCTCTCACTGTTTCTCCATCTTCAAGCATGGGGTCCTCATCCAGGGCTGCGTTGCAAACCTCGGTTTTGCTGCCCAGATGAACGAACAGGAGGTGGCAGCATGTGCTGCTGTGGACACTGGACCTCTCATCGGACAGACAATTTCTACAAAGGTAACACAGCGATCATAAACAGGCTTAAATTATCCACGCAGGAAACAGCACCAGACTCGGTCAAAATGACAGTTTGAGTTAGGATAACACAGGCCAGATCAGCAACCCTGCCAGTGTTTGTGTGATCCAAATTACTGCATCAATCTAAGACCTTAGGGGCAGCACCTGGAATATCGAATGTGCAGCGGCCTTTGGAACAGAAAATGTGCACATTCCGCTCGCCATCATGTAAAGGAAGTTCTTACAAATTTTATGGGAAAAGTTTCTGGGGACGATGGGTGGGTTAAGCTCACAGGATGTTTTGCGGCAATCTAATTGAAGAGTTGTCTCCATTTATGCGCACATTCCATGATGGCTTGCATCACCTGTCGCCCCAATCATGCATTTGGCCACCCACCAGCCAGTCCATTTGTGCTCTTTGAGTCCCAGTGTATCTTATGCGCATATTGTCTGCGTCAACATTCTTCTGTTTAAATTGATCCTTTGCACTTTTTGCCAAATTGCTGCAATAGTGCTCAAAGAGACTGGCCAGGGTCTTCTTTGCTGTGTTATGAAAAAAAAGGGGCACACTGGGATCAAGGGGGTGTGAAGATGCATTACATGGCCAATCCACCACTGCTGAAGGTCCTGAAGGATCCCCACAGCAGGATGACTTCAGGATTTCCCCCCCTCCTTTGCCACCCCCAGATCGGGACATCACGTGCAAGTTTGGCATCTACAATATGCACCATCCCGGACTAATGCTGACTTCAAGAATGAATGTTTGGTGCGCAGTACGGTAACGCCACAATCACCGAAGCATCAGTGTGCAATGCTACTAGCATCGAGCTTGAAGGTTCAAGGCCTGTAAGCATCGACATTTGATAAAGCGCCCCTCCCGTCAACGCATCGTAGTTGAGGAAGGCGACGGGTGCTGCGCCCACGAGCTGGCAGTGTCTTGAAAAGTCACTGGAGCGTCGATCTCAGGCTGCAAGGCGCATTGGGGGAAACAGCTCCCAAGCATCGCTGGGAGTGGGGGCTCCAAAAAGGGAGGGGGACTCTTCAATGGTTCTCGCAGGTTGTGTATGGCCGTCAGGGTGGGATTCTGGCTGCTGCAAGCCAAATAGAGTTTCAGATAAGACTAGGTTCTAGACTCCAGGTTTATGTGTAAGTTTAGGATTTAGGGTATCGTCATATTGTCATCCCAGGCCTGGGACTTTACGCTTGCACTGGGGTTAGGTAACATCGTCTATTCGTACCGTGTTTGCGCATGCCTGCCACAGGTTGCGGGCCGCGCAACCTATGACGTGGAAGCGTCGTGTGATGGGATTCTTGGTGGATCGTCTGCTTCACGCCAAAGCAGGCTGGGCTGCACTTTGCAAGCCTCTTGCACAATTGAACGCGATCAGGCACTGCGCTTTCACTGGTCCGGTGGCACAGGGAATCGGCGCTGCGGAGCCTTGCTGTCGTGCACGATGGGTCGAAAAAGCAAGTGCAGAAAGTGTGCACGAAAGCTGCTCCTGAGACACCCTCGACATCGGTTGGGAGGCGGCAGCTCGGACATGTGCCTTGCACAAGGACGCCTCCGTGTGCGTCCTCCCAATTTCAATGTCTTGTGGCCTTGGTCTTTTTTTTAAATTCCAAATGTATTACATGTGTTTGAAAACGAATTCCCCTGCAACGTGGCCTTGGTCTCGTAGCTGAAACTGCAATCTTGCCAGTACTTTGGGCTTGGGGTTCCAGGGACAACAGAAAGAAAAAAAAATCCTCACACCGCACCTGAACGCCGCGGCGACCGACACCGGTCCCAGCACTGCGGGATGGACGCCCTCCGACAAAAGGAGCGGACGCCCCAGGACCTGGGTCCCAGGGCGAGTCTCCTGGTGGACAAGCACGTCCAGTACATCGTCGACTTCGCGCTCAGCGAGGGCAGCCTGGAGCACATCCTGACCGAGCACTTCAAGATGAGCGGCATCTACTGGTCGCTTGCGGCACTCTACCTGCTGGGCGCTCTGGACCGGCTGGACCGCGACAAGATCATCGATTGGGTGCTCTCCTGCCAGCACGCATGCGGTGGCTTCGGCGCCAGCGAGCGGCATGACCCGCACTTGCTGTACACGCTGAGCGCCGTGCAGATCCTCGCGCTGTACGACAGGCTGGATGCATTGGATGCCGGCAGGGTGGCGGCCTACGTGGCGGGGCTGCAGCGCGAGGACGGGGCATTCGCGGGGGACGGCTGGGGCGAGGTGGACACGCGGTTCTCGTACTGCGCCATCAGCTGCTGTTCGCTGCTGGGGCGCCTGGACGCGATTGACGTGCCGAAGGCGGTGGAATTCGTGCTCAGGTGCAGCGGATCAAGTGGCCGGTTTGGCTTGCTGTGCGAATGATCGGTGAAGCCAAAAAGAAAGTCGAATCGCTGTCGTTTTGCCTTTCTGGAAGTATTGGGTGCTGTTGACAATCATGAGTGTCTATCAGGGCATTGGCACTGATGGCACTCTCATTATCTTCCAGAATGCTGCATCACGGTTGATGTTTTGTTCCAAACCATTATATCACATTAGAGCATCAGGGCGAGTGCGTGTTAGGCTGGTAGATGTCGATACATTACACGTGTACATGGACATCTACCAGCATAACATGGACATCTACCACCTACAATAGGTTCACAATCTTGAAACCTGCCCCTTTTCTGGGACTGTTCTTGTGCGCCCTGTTTTGGGTAGTTCCCGAAGTGCCACAGCACTGCTGCAGCAGAGTTGCAGTGACAGAAGCAGAATTGTGCTGACAAGCAACGATTCGTGGGGCGAGAATGGCGGGTGTAGTCGAACGGGCACAGTTTGGACACCGATGCAACGAACAGTTCAGCTTAGATTGTTGCTGTCACCTGGCTAAAGCAGATAGTTCGCCCACTGTGGTGTTGCATTAACTCCGGTCTTCTGTTGCGTAGGGCTGCATAGTTGCAGCAGTTGCTAGCGTGTGCCCCCTTTCCCAGAAGAATTTGGACACTGTTTTCAGCACTGAGAAGATGTTGTGGCATATTCACCACCATCAAGAGCAGTGCTCCCCAGCCAGCTCCATAGGGAATGATTGCAATTGTGGTTGTGCCGGCATCAAACAGTGGTCGTCACACAGCACTGATAATTGTGTAGCATGTCTGGCATCAATGGTTATTGGTATTGTTTAGCATCTATCATGGCTGTGTTCTTTTGCTCATTTGGCCAACGGATTATCTGTGTTTGCTGTCATGCAACCTCGCAATGCCATCAGACATCAACTCAGCATAGTGCTCGTCGATTGCAAAATTGAATTTCCACGGTAGGGGCAGTGTTGTCACTGCACCCTTCTGGTACACGCCACTTTTGATCATTGGAAGTAGCACAAAGGTAGCCCTTGAATGCAGATGAGACTGTGTTTAGGATTTGCAGCCATTGTGTATTGCGCTTTCCACAATTCGTTGTGACTTAGCTGCTGGCGGCCGAACAGTTTGTATCTGCATGCCCTTGCTGCCAGGTGCGGCAACTTCGATGGGGGCTTTGGGGCCACTCCAGGGAACGAGTCCCACTCTGGTCAGATGTTCACAGCCGTCGGGGTGCTAAAGATCGCTGGTGCAGAGGACCGTCTGGATGCTGACCTCACCTGTTGGTGGTTAAGCGAGCGGCAGACGCCTTCAGGGGGCCTCAATGGCCGTCCAGAGAAGTTGCAGGACGTGTGCTATTCCTGGTGGTGTCTTTCATGCTTGCATATGTTGGGACGCGGCCACTGGATAGATGAGGATGCACTGAGCAGGTTCATCCTGCACTGTCAAGACGAGGAGCGGGGAGGCATATCTGACAGGCCTGATGACATGGTGGACGTTTTCCACACCTTCTTTGGGGTGGCTGGTTTGTCGCTGATGGGCCATCCGGGGTTGAAGGAGATTGATCCCGTGTATGCGTTGCCAGTGGACGTTGTGGAACGCGTGAGGAGATGGAATGCAAGCCAGACTGGAGCATGAGATTCAAGAATTGCTGGGTCTTTTTGATCGTCATTTTCTTTCTTGAGCGACTGCGAGGGTTTTGTAACAACAGCACTCGAATGCGCATGTACACAGGAGCACTGGCATTCGCACGGACTATCTCTTTTCTAGGCTTGCTCTTTTCTTCAGGACGGCTTCAATTCTGACTGCCATGTTGTCTTGCAACATTCACGCTGTGCGGCACCTCGTTCTGCTTTACTCGAATTGAACGCCAGCAGCCCAGGGGAAGTCCACATGCCGTTCAAGAACGGAATCGACGCAATGCTCATAATGATTTTCAAGTTCCCTTTGGTGCGCAGCATTGACGTCCTGTGCAAAACGACCGACATGTTCAATGCAGTCTTCAGCGGCTGCGATAAGTTCGATTCTCGGAGTCACAGTTCCCGGAACTCCGCTCGCGACAACTCCCACGGGAGTGTGGGAGTGACACACAATGCGCCCCTTCGTCCGTTCTGCTATATTACATGCTTCCCACCAATCTAAGTTATTGGCGCCGAGGGTCCGCCGTGGTGCGCCAGCAATCCCTTGCCAGCCCCAAACTACCATCGACCCTGTTGCCATCGAACGGGAGGATCTTTCCGGCCATCAACCTTGGGCGTATGCGGGAGTTTATGGCCCCGGACCAACTCCAGGCGTCGATCTTTATGTGCATACCCCTGGCTTTCGTCCGATTTGCCTCTTGATTGCGGGGTAAGAATGTGTCCATACCTCTTTTTATACATCATCTGCAGTGAGAACATTCTCTCGAATGCATATATAAGAGGCAATACAGCTTAGTTATTCGCATCCCAAAGTAGTAGCTGCACTCACACACCCCTTTCAGGCATCCGTTGTCGCCTCTCTCACGTGCTCAATCCTCACATCATCCCCACGAGGGTTGATGAGGCCCTTCGGCTCCGAGACATCAAACTGCCACGGCTCTTGTTCGATTCCCATTCGCTTCAACGAAGCACAACACACAAAAGTCATGCAAACATTGGAAAATTTGAAAATATTTTTAATTCTGATAATCTGAAAATTTCGCAACGAGGAAACATGTCCAGAGGGAGGACTACTGCTGCTCGCCCAACATCACGCGTGGCAGTGCAATTCAAGCCATGCTTCTGCCCCGCACTGCCCATATTGGCGTCTTCTCGTTCCAGGTTCCCAGCTTTTAGGAGACAAGTGCCATCCATGATTCAGCGTGTCGTTTTCCATTTCACTGCATAGATGCATGCACCTGCGCAAACGAAGCAGGATCGAGCGGATGGCAGGGACAACGGGATTCATGGACAGGTACGAACAGAGCATCTCCTCGGCTCAGGATCGCAAGTGCAGTGAGTGCGCTGCATTCCTCACGTTTACTAATTGGGTGAGCACACTGAAACTGACTGAACTAAGCTGAATCCGAGCACCAAATGAATGGTGATGAGTTCGCCAGAGGGCAGAAGCACAGTTGATTGACATCCAAACTGCTGAAAATTTTTCTCGATCTACAATGTACCAATGTACATTTCCAATGTACCGCTGTGGCGGCTTGCGGGCTTCTTGCAGCCTGGTCATTAGTGCCTTGGTTGTGCATTGGTTCAATGTTTATGGCGTGCCGAATGAAGGTGTAGTTTATATGGCGGCAAGTGCTCGTTCCCACATATTTGCCGCTGGACCAGTCGCTTCCAACCGCACAATGCGGCAGGTGCGCACAGCGGGGTGTGTGCCTGTCCCGTAGTCGCCTGACAGGCCGCATGGCAACGAATTGCCTGGGCAATAGCCATTGCAACAAGGGGGGATTTTCTGCTCACTCAATGTATTTCACAATGTGGCTGTGGCCGCTCTTCTGGGCGTCTTCGTAGGGGCTGACGGACCACCGGTCTTTGGATGTGTGGGAGGCACTGTAAGTCAGCAGGACTCGGACCATGGGCAGCAGGCCATCCGCGCAGCAAATGTGCAGGGGCGTTCTCTGATCGTAGTCGCCGATGTTTGGGTCCGCCCCCGCCTTCAGCAGCCTCTCAAGGGCAGGCAGGTTCCCCCTGGAGAGTTTGGTGACTTGTCAGATGCGACATCAAGCATGCAGGGGCTTTGCGTGCCATCCAGCGACCATGGTAATGCGAGAGCCGAGGACACAGCAGTTCCGAAAGGTTCTTCATTGTCGATCTCACCACAGTTCCGCTACCATCGCCTTGGCTTTTCGTTTGGATTCCAAGCTTTGGGAAAGAGAGATGCAAGATCAGCATGCTATGGTGCATGGCTGTAAATCTATTCCTAAGTTCTTCTAAAATGCTATCAGTACTTGAAAGATTTCCGAAGGATTTTGAAGCAAGGCTGAATCCTTTATTTCCACCATCGCAAGTGTAAATTGGCTCAATATGCGCAGTTGCTACAGTGATCGCGATCGCAGCACGCTCAAAATACTGGCGACGCAATTTCGACCAACAGGTGCGCTGCTCAGCCACCCTATACACGGACTCGAGTCGATCGAAATGGAATTCGCACATAAATGGATGATACCATTAAATTTAGACACAAAAGGATCGAAGTTCATCAAGGTCATGAAAGGTCGTTTTCCAGAGTTTAGGGCTTTTGCATCTCAGACTTTTGCAGCTTTTGCACACTATTTGACCTACATGGCTCCTCCATTAGCTGCACATCTGGAAATGATGTGCATCGGACAAAACCTCACCTTGCGACATGTGCGCAGAGCGTCGATGCAGAATCCTCCAATTCCAGTCTAGCCCCGTGCCGCAGCAGGTAATCAGCCATGTCGTCGTGGCCGTTGATCGCCGCCTCCAGCAGCGGCGTCCTGCCGTAGGCGTCCTTCCCGTTTGGGTCCACGTCCGCCTCCTCGATGAGGAACCTCGCCACCTCGAAGGACCCATTGGCTGCGGCAAGATGGAGTGGCGTCCTCTTAGAATAGTCGGCACTGCGGAGAACCTAAAACATTTAAGATACTTAAAAAGGTCGTGAAGGGGTATTTGGTGGCGCAAACAGATGCGTCTGCAGTGGCGATCAGATAGCAAATGTGCCCAGCTGGTCTGGTATGGCAAAAGTGATAAATTCGAATGCTATGCTTTATTCGTTTCTCATTTCCGCACTAGAACGGAAACGATCGAGAATGAGTCTACTGATACATTAGGTGACGATGCGCCTGATTCGATTCATCTGGCAGCTGTGGCTGCTCATACAGATGCCTGGCACATTGTGGAGGCTGCAGGAACCTGAATGCCTGCGCGCGCTATGACTCGGATTCATTTTGTGACTTTCAAGTGGAGGGCATGATACGTGTGGCGCCGCCTCCTTCAGTAAAGTACTGATGCACTCATATGCGGGAGAGGACTCAGCAGCGCATCAGTCCATCATTATTTTTTGCACGACTCCTGAGTAATTTGCATCGCAAACCACGGCATTTTTGTCCTCGATACTTAACGTTTTCCGCAAATTGCTCATTCAAAATTTCTAATTCAAGCTGTATTTGAAGCTTCAATTCGAATCGGTTTGATTTCTGTTTGTGGGAGTTGTCACAATCTGGAATCGGAATATGGCAGTTTTCAAGCATGAGGTTTTCGGGAAGGGGATGATGAGTTCTTATTGCCAAGTTCAAAATAGCAAGCGCTATAGAGAAGCAGTGTTGCGATTGGACCCACAGATCCCAGGTTGAGAAGCTGGCAGCCGGATACTTCTTGAACGCCCTGCCAAGATCACCCCGTGGCAAGACCACCTGATTACATAAACTTCAACATAGAAATCGCACATCGGACAATTGAGTTCTGAATACATGCAGATCTTTCCCAAAATCTGATCCCAGGGATTCGTTTGAATGAAAGTATACTGGAATGCGCTTTCGACTGTCCATGCATTTGCAAACGAGTTTACAGGAATATTACCGTCGATTCAAGTGGATAAGCACTGATGCCTATTCGCTCGAAATCAGTAGCAAATGTGATGAGGCAAGTTTTCGACATGGACGCGACATCTCGATCTTCGTCTCGTGACATGTGTCGATAGTTTCAGTTATGCTCCTCACGCGTACTAAGGCTTGGCTTTTGCGTTTACGTTTACTTTTTTGCTTTTACGTTTTTACGCGTAAAAACGTAAATTTGCAAAAGTGTATATTTTTTTACGGCTATTTTTACGTTTTTACGGCTCCCTGGTACACCCAGATTACACGATGAAAGTTGCGTACAATGATGAGTCCTCCGCCAACTCCAGCACCCGCAACACAGCGTCCACCCCGCCCTTGGCAAGGGCGATGACGGCGCTTAGCAAAAACTCGTTTTCTGCCCCTTCAAGGGCGCCTAGCTGCCACTCTCTGGACTCCGTAAATCTGTGTGTACTGTCCTTATGTACACCGGACAGTTTTTACGCTGTACTTAAATATTTTTACGCAATTTTTACTCGCAAAAAGGTAAACAATATTTTTGCGCGTAAAAACGTAAATACGATCAGTTTTTACGGCGTAAAAGCCAAGCGTGCGCATATATGCCGTATATGCAGTATATACTGTTGACCACCATATTGAATACAGGGGCTAACAGCGTGCGATAATATGAGGGATTGGTGCCTTCAGCCATTTCCGGATCCGTGCTTACCAGTTAGGATCCATCTGCCTGTCGCTGTTAACAGTGCGCCGAAACTCGGCAACGTTGTTCATCCCGGCCAAGAAGCAGAGCTCCGTAATGTGTTCCATGCGTTGGCGGCTCACATTGGATTCTGCCTGAATACGCAAAGGCATTCTCTCATGGCATGGGCGGGAACTGCCCTTCACAAAATCAAACAGGGCGTGGAGGTCCATGCTCTGTGGTAACCGCGGAATGTGTCATTGGTAGGAACTGGCACCAAAATGACTCTTGCCACTATTTGATTATTTGATTCTTGTATTAAATGTTTGGGAGGCATTTCGTGCCATTGTTTCATAGGTTTTTCCTGTCAGATGGATTGCCTTTTTTATTTCACGAGCTTCCAGCAGTTCGAATGCGTTTTGGGTCATAACGCGTTGACTCTGCGCT